ATACACTGAGACTGTGACTATACAAGTACAAGACAAGACCATACAATGGGACGGGTGCACTATAAGTGCGTAACTAGATAGAAATTCTGAATTTTAGGCGCCTCAAACTAAAATTGGTCAACATACATCGACCTCTGGCATTATGGTAAAAAGTGAAAAGTTACCGTATTCTCAATTTGGCAAACAGATGTAGGCCTACAGTTTATTTGCTTTACATCAGTGAATCACATATTGTGATAATATTTATAGTTGTACTCTTAGATCTGTTGTACCGGTACCATATATTGTAATTTTTTTTTTTTTTATTGTTCTATTTTGGGCTCTCAACAGTCAGTACTTTCTAGCTTTAACGCACGTGGTAAACATGTTGAGGTTGCATTCTCCTTTGATACCACTGGAAGCATGTACAGCTACTTAACAACTGTAAGTTTTAACTTCAACTTGTAATGTTGTTCAATTTAAACGTTAGCAGACTTTTAGAACAGTCCACGTTGTTACCGGGTATCTTGATGAATTCTTCTTCATTGACACTGATACCATAAACAATTGAGTTACTTTATTAGTAGGGTACCGGGGTATTATTAGAATAGTTTCCATGTGAGACATGGAGTTGGAGACTTTTACGAATTAAATAAAAATTCTTCAAGGTTTTCACTTCCATCGCATGAGTTGCACAATATAATTTATTATAATACTAATCCGTACCAGTAATTTAAAATAGAACCTGGTCATGTCGACGTTCTTAACAGATACTGATTCCTGGTAGAACATTTGGATAATGGTGTTCCATAAGAGACCTATTTCAACCAGTGTGTTGACTAATAATACTATACTAATAAAAATATCCTTTTCATTATAAGGTCATAACAGATGTGTTACGGTACCAAATTCTTTAATTGTTTTACTTTTGTATTCATTAGATACGTGAAAAGCTCAGAATGTGTTGTACACGATTACTCCAGGATATACCAAACATAAGAATAAGCATCATAGCTCATGGAGATTATTGTGACTCAGAGTCACTTTATGCTATAAGGTAGGGACTTATAAAATAATTATAGTTATAGTCTAATACAGGGATGGGCAACCTTTTTGTGCAGAGGGTTGCATTGAACTGAGCCAATTTCTTTGGTGGTCCACATGATCATGTTTAATATACATCAAACGTCTCATTAAAGATGGGCCTTAAAAAATCATTTCAAGTTCAGTTCGCAAATAAGCTGTGGAATTATTTTTTTAATTTTCTGTGATTATTTTTATTAGTTTAAAAATTGTACAATGTGATTATTCATTTCCAAAAGCTTTTGGTAAATTTTACAGATACATTTATCCACTTCTATGTTCAAAAGGCCAGCAAAATAAAATTCCAAAAGTTTGCACTAACTGGGATACTTATAAAGTGCATTATTCCATGTTTTGTCAAGTTACTTTAGTAGATGGGAAGTTTACCAGGTATTGCCTTTATTGTTTTGCGGGTTATTTCAAGTATTACTTGAATGGGATTAGGATAAAAATCCACTTAAAGTTACATTATATCAGTTTCTTGGCCTCATATTTCATTATTTGCGGGGAAATTTGCAGACATGTGGACCTTACTTCTGAAGTTCAAACGCTTGTGCATTTTGCTATGGATGTTCCAGCAACCAGTGGGGGTGATTCCCCTGAGGTAATATCATAAAATTTTATCTTCTAAGAATTCCACTTCATTTACTATTAAGAATGCAGGTGTTGCCTTAGGATGGTGCCAGTGGTGCAACTGAACTGGCTGCCATTTTTGAGTTAGAGGCAATGGCCAAAGCCTAAATCAACAATACTATTGGTAATTTCTTTACAGTGCTATGAACTTGTCCTTAAGAAAGCTCAACAGCTTGACTGGTCAGAAGATGCAGCTAAAGCCCTGGTTGTCATTGGTGACCAACATCCTCATCCACCCTCATATACAGACCAAAGCATATGCTGGCAAGATGAGCTGGATATTCTCTGTGGGATGGGAGTAAAAGTAAATATATGAATGTATATTTTGAAAGGCTAATGGGTGTTAAAGTACACCGTAGATGAAAAAAAAAATTTTTTTGTCTTAACAAAAATTGTATAGAATAAAGGCACACATTAATTATCATTAAGCTTAAGTTCATTTTACCGGTACCCGGTACCATGCTCAAAATCCATTGCCACCAAATGATCAAAATACTTGACCATGTGCTACGCAAGCTTTTGGAAGGAAAGCTAAATTTATTTCCTTAAAACACAAATAATAAAATTAAAAGTTTTATAAAAGTCAAATACAAATCATATAGATTGAACTTTGTTCCAGTGATTTTAAATGGCGCTGAACTTTTAAGGATATTATTGTTCCATTTAGTCTTAGTACCAGTACTCAATATTTAGCCATTGTACCATTATTCAAATATAGTAACCTAAGTACCGTACCAGTACCAGTTAACTGCTGTGGTCATTGTGAATAGAGAAGAATTTACTTGTCAGTTACCGTAACATATTTTTTCTTGTGTATCGGTACCATACCTGTACCAGTACTTGAGTTGTACTAGTAATTGTGTGATGGAGTCTAGCTACTTTAATGGAGTTTAATTTTAAATTGCTCCTAATTATCCATTGCTTTCTTTGTTTTTAAAAATAAATTTTATAAATAAACATTTTAATAAGCTAAATTTTGTTTTATGAATTTACAGGTGTATGGTGTGCAGGCAGGAGCTGACTCTATGTCTGCAAACTTTTATAAGGAACTTGCAGAGGTGTCGCAAGGATGCTATCTTGAGTTAAAACACATTGATGTCATCACAGACATGTTTTTAGCAGGTAAATTTAAACTATACCCTAATTTTCTATTTTAGCACTGAAGTTTGAGGATTATTCATTAAGGAATTATACCCTAAGAGTGTAAGTGTAAGGCTTAATAATATGTTAATAGAAAAAGGGAGGGAAATGGGTTTTTTATCTAATTTTTGTATAGTTACTGTTATGGTACCAGGACATACAATAACTTGAATAATTTTTTTCAGTTTGTTACAATGAGACAGACAATAACATGCTTGAAGATTATGAACAAGAACTGGTCACAGCAGGGAACATGACAGTACTTAAACAAGACATGATTTCACAGCTCAAACAGAACCACACAAAAATGGATTCCACATCTGAACAAAGTTCAGGGTTGAATAAAAAGGTTAGTAAAAATGTATTTGCTCACAGTTATTTATTTATAGCAGCTTCTTCATAGTAGTAGTAGTAATCTCCATGGTGCTGTCTGACACACAAAGCTAGTAGGCCTAGGAATTCAGATTTAATATCATGAGTTTTGCTTGGACAAGAACACTTCTGGATAAGGCTTGTGGTTGGTTATCGGGTGGCAACAGGTATTGTCAGTTTTATAACACTGAGATTTAAACAAAGAGAGAGGAACAATACCCCTTCCGGTACCTCTTTCTCATTTTACTCCCAAAATTCAATTTTGTTGCTCCCCTTAAATTACGGTACAGGTACTTAAAAATAAAAATTAACAAGTGGATAATCTACTGTTGTGAAATACAGTAGAAAATTAATTACTATTCTAAATCTAAATCTAGCTTGCTAAGTAAAAATTAGTGCTGTGTATCACACCTAAGCATCTGTAGTATGGTACCGATACAGGAATATGCATTCCCTGTAATTAATAGACCTCATCAATGAATAGTTTTCTGTTTTTTTCCAATAAAGCTATTAATAGTAACCTATTTTTGTTTATTTCCTCCTAAATCTGAAAAATTGAGAGCATGTTACCTGTATTAGAATACTTGTGGGAGAATCAACCATATGTTTCTTTTTTTAAATAATCATTAATTTATTGATGGCTACTTTACTGATCACTGATATAGGAATGTACAAATGCTTTAATTATAGAGATACTTGGCTCAGCCTTGGTGGGATATTACACTGGATCATAGAAATATGTTATATGTGTACAAAACTGAAACTGATAAATGGATTCCAGGTACAGTGAGAGTAATTTTTGTTATGGTAGTGTAAAAAACATGGAGTATTTTTGTGAAGTAATATCTGGCTCTTAAATCCAAGTTTTAAATAATGAAAGGAATTGATAAACACTCACAATGTTTATATTACTGGTATTAATTGAATTGTTTTCTTTTAAATACCAGTATTCAATTTATTTCATCATGTATTGAATGTAACAAGTAGTCATAAATATGTAAGAAATAAGGATGTCAAAATATTCGGTTTTATAGCCTAATCGCCTAATCGATTTATTTTAAAATATATTTCAGCACCAAAATCAAGAGCTGTCAGTACTGTTCCTTCTCCCTTGCCTTCTTACACCTCATCTGTAAGGCCATTATATGGCAAAAGAGAGAAGAAAAGGAAATGCTCAATAATGTAACTCATTGAAAATTAAGTATTTAATTGTGAAATCAGTGACAATGTAGTAGACTATTGTAATGCTTTCTTCCAATAGAATTCCATTTTTATATTCTTCATGATCTACAGTAACAATGGTTAATTACTGATAAAATACAGTGACTACCAGTAAAATAAGATATCAATACAATCATTTGTCATTTGCACATGCCCGGTGTCTTTAAAAAAAAAACTCAACAACAAAAATGTTTCGTAACTGTGTGTAGAAGTAGAAGAATCAGCATGTGAATCACAGTACTTGAATGTATTTATTATATATAACCGTTGTATCACATTGGTGAAAGATAATTAAACTATGTAAAGATAATTATAAATTTGTTCTCTATTCAAGCATAAAAATAAAATGTCTTGAGTCTTAGTATTTGATTAATTTATATCCCGGTATGAATTTAAAGACCGGGTATCCATTTATATATATCAATATAAATTATATATAAATATAAGCACCAATAATATGGGCATACCTGGTAGTAAAAGCATAATTAATTATAAGAAGTATAGGTTTTTCATTTTGTTGAAAATTTTATTTCATTACATTATTTGTAAGTACCGGTACTATTAGTACTATTTTATATATATATATAATGGCGCAGCATGTGCTTTTTAAGGTGGTCCATTCTGTAGAATCTGGCATGACAAATCTGGCAGTCAATCTCACGAAGGCCTTTGCACTTCCATGTGTGTCGGGATAATGCATGGGGCAGTGTGTATACTTTGCCACAGTTGTCACACTTATGTCCGCCAGTTTTGTTAACATCTCTGGTGCTGCAAAGAGGATCTGTTCTGCGATGTGCCATTTTGAGGAAATAAACTGTGATGGGAATACAAATTGTAATAAGTAAACTGGAGTAAGATTTTAGAATCTTGTAATATGAAACAAATCTCAATGATTGATAATGGTTCACAGATATAAATGGACAAGTATACTTGGGCAAAAGATTAATTTTAAAAATAAAAGTACAGTTCCAAGCAGTGAATTTTAATTGATGCCAACACATTAGACACCCTCTGATTACCAAGAGATAATAATATGGTAGCATCGAATTAAGGGATGCAGTTATAAAATGTACCCAATTTGGTGTCCTCCTTATAAGAGCAAACTGAGAGGGTTGTAGGATGAATAGATTTTTTTGTATGCATGGGATAGTTGGTCTTTACAAAAGTTGACATTTAATATTAAATTTGCTTTAACTTAATGAGAATTAATGAAAAAAATTTTTTTCTTAATTTGAAACAGTACTAAATTTATTTGACAAAAATTTTGCTTGAATTATTTAACAAACAGTACCTTGCATAAATCTGTTGCAGACTCAGATATATCCAGTTCAAATAGAATGATGTGAATTTAACATATGCCTACAAATTAAAGTCGAAAGTCTCTAAATTGTTTGTAGCATTAGCTGTTGTACCCGGCAACATGTTAGTGCTTTACAAGACATATCACCAGTCTTAGACATAAATGTCATAAAGGACATCTGTAGAGACAGGGGGGGGGGGTCTGTACACAAGCAGTCAAGGGAAGTGGGATAATGATTAAGGATTCAGAAGCCCGCAAGCTCCAGGGATTAGCTGTTGTACCCGGCAACATGTTAGTGCTTTACAAGACATATCACCAGTCTTAGACATAAATGTCATAAAGGACATCTGGAGAGACAGGGGGGGGGGTCTGTACACAAGCAGTCAAGGGAAGTGGGATAATGATTAAGGATTCAGAAGCCCGCAAGCTCCAGGGGTGTACTGGGCTGCCGGGACACCGGGAAGATTCCCGATGGGCCGCTAGGACCGGTGATGTAATAAAAATAAAACTCATGAAGATAGGGCCGCTTTTTGTTTTTTTCCCGGGCCGCTTTGATTTTTTCCCGGGCCGCTTGAACTCCCCAGTCCACCCTTGGCAAGCTCACTTATTTTTTAAATTTATTTTAGCTATTTTTATACACAGCTTTAGGCCCACGCCCACTGCATGTATTTCTCCATGGCAAATCTATTATTAGAGAAATTTCAAAAAAAAAATATATTCATAAACCACCATAAATTTTTGCTATCTCTTATATTTATATATATTTTGCTGCTGGTCTGTCCTATTTCCTCTTCATAATTACCCTTTGTTTTATATCAAAAGTAGGCTACTGAGTGAGGAAAAAAAGGCTATTACTAACTATTGACTATTACGCAGCGAGCGTCATGCGTGACGGTATAACTCAGGTAAATGGTTTGGGTACTATTTTTGGTGGGGCGACGATTATATTAATCAATAAAGGGTCATCAGAGGAAGGGGTTATAGTGTAGGACTGCCTAATAGTAAATGAGAAGTTAACTCTTTATGCAACACTTGGACCCACAGGGTGTTTTCTCAAAATACCCGGACCCGGTGTAAAAAGTAAAAAATGCACCTTAGTTATTTATAATTTGGTAAAGATTTCTTATAGCAAGTGAGGTCACTCTACATATTTGAATTTGCTATCTATCAACAAGTTTAAGCAAAAGGGAGATTTTTCACGTGTTGACTTCAATCGATAAGAAAAGGCATCAAAATATATTACATCAGCAAAAAATTATATAATATTACTTTTTATATTAGACTCCCTCCTTCCGGTGCATCCGTACATTTTTGGGCAACCCCACTTATACGTACCGGTGGTTACCCTGTGTGGTAGTCCCCAGTGTTTCCTAAGTACGGTATTCCAATGTTTTCCAAGTACCGATACTTATAGTCTCTGAAGTCTCTGTTAGCGTGGGTTTGGAATGGGGTTGGGTGGGTGTGTGGAGAAGCAAAACATCCGAATAGCATTGAGTCTAAAGGGACCCGGGTCCGAATAGCAATGATGCGTTTCCGGTTCCATTTTGACTAAATGCTATTCCGATGTCATTTGTGGTCGTTTATTTTAGTTAAACTTAAGAAGTAAGTTTACAAAAATATAGTCCATTCAATTATCTTTCATTTGATACCAAATTTTATCTTACATACCCTACAATAATTTTTAAATATTTTTTAATCAACCCAAACGCAATGATATTAATGTAGGCATACGCTTTTTTTTTTCTCCATAACTTGGCAACACAAAATATACTAGTACCAGGTACTAGTGAGTGTCATTCTATCCCAGTGTCTATTTTAACACGATAGTTATTTACTTCTTCGAAGCGTTGGATTTTTAATACCGGTACAACTTAACAAATACAAGTTACCGTACCCGATACCAAAATTTGAAAAGGCAAATAGTTTTTTGTTGATTTTTTTGTGTGTGAACCAACTCATATTCTTATGCCTGATCAAGCTGTGTCGTATATTTTCTGACTGCAGGACTGATTTTTATTTTGTAGCCTAATTCCTTTCTTTAAAATGACGAGAAAATTAACTTCACTTTGAGCACATGGCTCAAATAACTTCAATAAGCCTTGAATTCTAGTCCTGTCGTGTTCATGTATGATTCTCGCTTCAACTACTGGGTATTTGAATTATGTATCCAGCCCTTAATACTGAATACACACAACATTAGACTTGAACTGGAGGTTTTTACAATTTAATATCAATTTAGGCATTGTGTTGTGTTCGTGAATTACCAATTAATAACATACACCTATCGGTACCGTACAAGTTGAATAAAGTTAGTTTATTAATGGTAATTGCGATGGATTTCGCATAATCGTACCTGTAAAATATAAGTTACCGGGTACGGTACGCCTAAATGATTAAATGTTAAATAGGATAGGAGCTGAGAAATGAAATATCAAAGTCAAATCATAAAATTTCATTGGGATTCTCTCTTCTACCAAATATACCAGTGCTTGTAGCATAAATTTGGTAAGAATGACTTATTCAGAGAATGGATATTCCACATGGGGCTATGTTCCAATTACCGGGTAATTTGCTTAATCGTGGGTACCGGTACCTGTTCAGCAAAGTCCTTTGCCTTTCCTAGCAGTACTAACACTAACGGTTGATTCAGGCAGTTTTAAGTATATGAACATTTAAAATACCGGTATGGCACAGGCAACCTCCGTTTAAGTTTATGTGACCAGCAGCTAACTTAAACTTAGGTACGCTACTGTCTAAAGATAAGCATATCCTACTATATGTCATATGTTATTGTTTCCATATGCATAGGGGCACAAAGAACTGCAAAGCAGCATATTTGGTGGAACTATGAGGCTTGCCACTGTACCGGTGCGAGCTACATTCTCTTTTATCATATTTTTAATTACCGGTATCTGGTACGGTACTAGTACACTACCATAGTTAGTCTCTACTCTTAACTCTGTATTAGTATAAGCCTATCCTATTAATTGTTTCCATATGCATAGGGGCACAAAGAACTGCAAAGGGGCCGTCCATAAAGTACATCACGCTATTTTTGACCATTTTACCCCCCCCCCCAACTGTCACAAATCTCGGACCC